TATTCCAGGAGACAATAGACATTTGTAAAAAATGAACAAATTGATTGAGAAGTGTATATATGTGTATTTTCTGATCATGTGAATTTGGGAAATGCTATATTAAACAATGTTAAACAGGTTACTTCATGACAGGGCTTTCCAGGCCCTCTAACATGCTCCTAAGGAACACTGTCATATTCAAGGGAGGGGGAGAGGGGGAGTCCAGGTGGGAGGCTCCAGGAGGGCACAAATCCGGTCCCCCTGATTCGTGATTTGGGCTCACTGAATTCTGTGACAGCCTACCTGCCTCTCCCACTTACTGGCTGTGTGACTCGAGGGAAGGCACAGGCTGGCTGTGCCTCAGTGTTCTCATGAGCAAAAGGTGGACACTTCCTATACCAAAAGATCCAAGTTAAGACTAAAGAGTAAATAATGTCAAGTCCTTCAGATATTTTAAAGCAGAAGGAGGGATCCATGAATGGATATGTACATTCTGTCCTCTGAATATGTGGTATGGGCGAAGCAGTCACGTGGCTCGGCCTCATGTCTCATCACGATGGTTCGTGAATGTGTAAGTGATAGGAGCTACTGGCTTACATGATGTGTACAATATACTTATGTTTTCCTTCTGGGCTTCCTCCTTTTTTCAATCTATCTGATTCCCCAAAGCTTTGAAATGCATGGAACTGCAACTCTCAGCCCTTTGCTTTTCTTTGAAAAGTACAATTTTTTTGAAATTAAGAAGGAAAGCTGACACTAGGAAACTTTGTGCTATTTTCCCTTGATTCATATATGGTTTCTGGCGGTCCTAATACCCTCTGTGTATTTATTGTCACTTAGACACATTTGATTACATGCTCCAGACACTGTTCTAGGTGCTGAGGATACAACAGTGGACAGATAAATGCCTGGTGCTTCACAGGCGTGACAATCTTGTATGGAATTTTCTTTGCATTTCTACCTACTAGCAAAATGCCTGGCCCATGGGAGGAGGTGCTCACATGTGTCTTGGATGGATGAGTGGAGTGATAAAATGAGTATTTCCGTTGGTGGGTACACTGTATTTCAAAAAAGTGGATGAAAACGTGGTGTGAAATTGGCTCTTTGAAGTTTCTAGAGAGAATGAGAAACTATTATCATAGGAATTGGAAACGAGCCACCTTTGTGCCCCCTCTTCCTCCTGCCATGAGATTTCCTGGTTAGCATTTTGCTTTGGATGAAGCAGCGGGTGAGCGAAAACAAGACAGTGCCAGTGTGGAGCAGAAGCATCTCTTTTGGGAAGCGAAGAATCACTAAAAGACTCTTGAGAAATCTAAGGCCTTTTTCCTCATGGAGATATTAATGATATGATTCCAGTGTTTGAAAAGTATAAAAAGATTGGCCAAAAAATAGCTGCTATGCTCCACCTCTCGAAATTTCCAAGTTTAAGTTCTCTCCAGTTGAACTTCACATCACATTTACATTTGTTTGGGAGCCAAGTCCAGGAAAAGGATCAAAACATTATTGGGGGTGGTGAAGCCACTTCTCCTAGGGAATAGGGCAAGAGGCTGCTGAGTCCCTTTGCAGATTTTAATAAAATACTAGCAACATTTTAAGTCTGGTTCATGCAACTCTTATCTTGCTCTTCATCAGGGTACACTCCCTGGATGTCATGAAAATATTCTAAAAATGGCTTCTGTTTATAATTCTTTAAGTTCAACAGTATATACAAAGGTGCAAAACCCATAAGTCTCTAAAGTACAAATCATACAAAGAATATATCCTTCCTCTCCTCGTCCTGTCCCCTGGATGGCTTATCCCCTCCCCAGACGCATCTACTGACATGTGTGTTATATATCCCCGTAAAATTTTTTATGAATATCTGTATTTTGGAAATAATAAGAATCCAGCATTTAAATGTGTTTCACATATGCAACTCCTCGAAGTCACATAGATTAAATTTTTCCAAGATTTCTAATTCAAACAATTCTTGCTCAAGTCATTAATTTCATTTTCTACTCACTTTCAAGAAAAGAAGCCTAAGAAGTATCTTGGAATAATGTAAGAGGGCTGGTGGGGACTGTGGCAACCGGGCTCTGCCATTAACTAGGAGGTATGGGCCTAACTTCCCACCTGAAAACTACAGGCTGTCTTAAGACAAAAGTCCAAGATTCCTTACAAAGATAAGTGTCAGAGTGGTGCTACACAAGAGGTCACCTTTACTTTTCTCAAGTCAAAGTTCAGGATAGGTACCTGTTGCATCTATGGACCTATACAATGAGATTGATGCTCTAATGCCCCAGGTGCTACCAAAGTCTGAGATTCTGATATAGTCAGTGTAGTTTTATGACTCATTATATCTTACTTTATTTCTTTGAAAATTGGCAAATCTTTAATCAAATACATAGAGAAACGTAAATCAGAATAACATCACTTCCCAAACATTCTTGGAAATCATACCTTAATCACATCACTTCCCAAATACTCTTAATTAATCATACCTTATACATTATGCTCCCAGCCATGACAAACTGATTAGTTACCTGTGGATTCATCAGTGTATTTATGCTTTAAGATGTTGCCCCATCAGATCTGGGGTGAAGTTTGAGAAGTACTCTCTTCATGAGCTCTTAATTCAGTGGAAGAAATCCTGATGCCTGGATACCAACCTCAGAGACGCTCATGTAACTGGTCTGGGGTTTAACCTTAAGGGCACTGGGTTACTCAAAGCTCCCCTGCTAATTCCACTGTGCTGCCAGCATTGAGGACCCCTGCTGTAGATTTTGACTAGGATTGCCTCATGCAAGAAATCTCTTTGGATCATCAAGATTTGCTTACTTCTTTCACGTGGAAGTGGTGTGACCTTCTCTCAGAATAGCGCTCTTCTTTGCATGAAACTAAGGTATAAACTCAAGCTACCTCAGTATGACCTGGAAACCAGCATCACCTACATCACCCTGATATCCTACCCTCAATAACTGAAACAGAATCTGCATTTTAACAAGATCCCCAAGTGTTTAATGTGCTCATTAAAGTTTAAGGAGCCTGACAGCAAAGTGGCCTCAGATTATGCATTTCTAACAAGGCTCCAGGTGCGTGGTTCTGCTGGTCTTCAGGCCACAGTGAGAAGGATCTAGTACTTTTCTCAAAGTGTGGTCCAACAAGACCTTCCAGAGAAGTGGTGAGAGGCTCATGCTGTACTTCACCACAGACCTCCTGAATTGTACTTTCTGGGCATCGGCCTGTATAGCAGACTGCTCGATCCCGGGTGACTCTTACTTACTTAAAAGCTTGGGAACCACAGAAGCACATTCAAGTTTTCCCCAGAGGAAGAACTATTCTCTCCTTGGAAAAGCAGTCCCATCTCATTGTTTAAAAGCTCCTCTGAATTTAGCCTACAGGAAACAGTATTACACACTAAAGAAAAATAAATTGTCTTTTCCTTAGCCCTTCAAATAACTGGGACAGTCTTTCTTTTGTATACATGGTCTTCACCGGCAAGTTTAGATTGCTCAAGAATTGCTCCTGATTCTATTTCTTGTCCTTCCGGTGAATACCACCCTCCAACCCCACATTGGAAAACTTCCAGTTCAGCACACCCCTAAAGGGAAGGCAGCTCAAATCAGAGAAAACATCCAAAGTGAGCAACACTGTATACAAAGACTGTCATCCACTCTGACCACAGCACTGTATTTTTTAATAATGTGCTCTTACGTCCGTCTGGGATCATCAAGAGATGCCACTTAATTCCTATGCTTCCACATTTATTGAACTTACATATAGGGCTTCCCTTGTAACCCACATACATTTCATCACCATGCTCTCTGTGTCCACTGCTGGAGCACCATAAAGGAGTTCTGGTCACTGGTCCTAAATAAACAGTCTTGGATTTCAATCCAGGTCTGATCTCTACAGCTCTGCTGTAGGCCCTTAGACAAGCTCCTAGTCTTTGTAAGCCTATTCTTCATCTATAAAATGGACCACAATAATAGTACCTATGTTAAAGGATGGTTGTGAGGACTGAATAAGATCACATAAAAAGCACTTCTGTAAAGCATAAAGTTGTGTAAATGGTTAATGAATGAAAGCACCCTAAGCTATGAATAATTTACAAACTTCATTAACTATGAACACAAATTCATCCATTCATTTTGTTTTCAACCCCCATATAAAGTAAGTGGCAGCCCTTAAATCCTCTAAGAAAAACAGAATCTGTCTCCTCCACCACCACCTGTGACCCATTCTAATCTGCTTTTCTTTTGTGAAGTTTCTGTCTTCTGTCGACAAAAGAAGAAGGGAAACCTGGTCTGAGAACCAGAAAACCAAATACCAGGGTGGCTCTCTAGAAACCAGCCACATGGAAGTGGATGAAACCATAAAACCCCCTTAACACCAGCGGGTGTCAAAGTGCTCAGACAGGGTGTCTACTTCTAGTTTCTCACTGAAAGAGGAACTCAAAATTACTGCTGGCTATTGAAAGTCCTGACTATTGGAATTCTGTACAGCCAGGGTACCCAAGCCAAAGGGGAAATGTGATGAAATACATAATTTATAATATAGCATATATAATATAGTGTAATAATATTTTCCACCAACAGAAGACTTTACCCTGCCTATGCCAAGAAAGCCCCTTAAGTTATTTAGGGGCCATGAGGTTCCATATAGAAGCCTATTGACTTGTGTAGACCTGTGAGTGGTCAATTTCCTAGATGGAAAGGAGTAAGAAGAATATATTCTAAGGATGAGTCAATACTTGTACCTCTCCACCTCCAAATTCTCCTTTCTTAAAACAGGGACAATCTCAAAAATAGGAGCCTCAGATTTACCCCAAAAGACTAAGAAATGTTTGGACATCCTCAGTTTCCAGTCTATCCCTATGAATCTCCAGGTACTCTTCCAGACACAAATCTTTGCTAATTTACATGATTTACAAATTAGAAAAGACTGAGGATTTTAGAATACTCATGTTTTTCCAAGAGACTCACCAACGAGTTATAGCTTGAGCACATGTACAAGGCAAGGATTAAATACACTCAAACTAGTCAAGTAACAAACACCTTATATTTATTAATAAATTAGTACACTTGAAGGCATTTTTCTGATATCATTTCCTCACCACAACCCACAAATCCTGCCCACATAGAGGGAGTCCACACCACCTTTGTATTAGAATCTGGCAACTGAGCATTAGAGAGCACGTTTATAAATGGGAGCAGAGTTGCAAATATATCAGACAAGAGTTCTTACAGCTGCAGCCATTTTTAATGCAACTGACTGAACAATGAAGGAAACCCACCAAGATCAAGACCTTGAGGGCAAAAGACCTGACGACTATGTGTGTATAAAAAAAGACACATCTTTTAAAGCAAAGCAGGGCAAATCCCCTATGGAAAAGGTGCCACTGGCACTCAGTTGTGACATTCCAAAGTGTAGTAATATGTTCCAGTACAGCTCAATCCCTAAAAGATGGAGTTCTTTGGTGGCCCAGCTGTCAAGCCACTTAAATAGCAAGTCCTGATGGCTTGAGGATTTCAGGTCTCCAGCCTAGAGCATAGTAGCGTTAAGAGGAGAATGAGTGATAAGCACTTGATGTGCTGTTTGGGGGAAAAAATGTGCCATCAGCCCAGTGTGGTCACACTTCAAGCCGTGAATATGAACCAGACGACAAGGCTTATTAAAAAGAGGACTAAAAATCTAATTGCATTACAGTAACGCAACAGGGTCTTCCATTTCTTTAACCCTTGAGAAAAATTCATAAATGACAAATAGTAATCAAAACAGTAATAAACAAGCGGTTGTGGACGAGACATGGAGGCTGCTAACAGTAGTCACAAGATGCCATTATGCTTGTAAGAAGTTAAGAGCCTCGCAACTCGGTGTGCAGGAAAAGCCACACGGCATTTGTGGTACATTTAGTGAATTTAAAGTGCACAGAACAATTTTGAAAATGCAGAAGAAGGCAGATCAAACAGAGAAACTATGGAACCTAAAAAACTTTAGTGGTGGGTATTCTGCAAGTTACACCTTGAAAAGGCTTATAAACGAACTTCCCGAGAGGGTTAAAAAAAAAAGAAAACTCAAAACACTGGCCATATACTCTGTTACATACACATACACACACACACACACACACACACACATACACACACAACAGAACAAAACCAACCACTCAGCCACTAAATTGAGTAACTTCCAGAGTGCAGTATCCCTCGCGTTTTACAATAGGTCGGGAAGATGGCTATAAACAGAGTCCAAGAGGGTCTGGCTGGCTTCCTGGCTCTTGACGCCAATAATCTCAAACAGGCGGTCCAGCTTGTCCTCAGCCTGAGGAATCTCTTCAATCACCCGCAGCTCCTCAGGGTTCAGAATATGGAGCATATCATCAAAAATAGGCTGCAAGTCGCAGGGGTCCAGGCGTACCTGCCGCAACACTGTGTCCTTCTTTTCTGCACGGAAGGGGATGGGAAGAGACAGCTATAAAGGAAGGGTACCGGGGGGCAGAGGAGAGCTACCACCACCCTCCCCGCTGGCTTCTCCCCTGCCTCTCCCCATCCCCTCCCCAGGGGTTGAGTGTACCGCTGGCAGAGTTTAAACCACATAGTTTTTACTTATACTGCACATAAGATGACAAACAAGATTTGACTAATAGAGAACAGACAAGGATGTGTTTGAATGGGTTGGTGATGTGGTAGTAACATAACTTTCACTTAAACATAAGTGACTTCTAGATCATTTTAAAACTCAGGAAAATGACAAACCATTTGAAGAAACTTAAAAAAAAACCCCAAAAACACGTTACTGCTTTCCCCATCTGCAATGTGCTTTCTAAACAAAGATATCAGCCCACTCTTTACCCCTCAAAAATTCCATGTCAAAGTAATCTGTTTATCTGGCTTTCTAAGAGCAAAAGCACATAAATAAGAAAATATTGCTCCTTGGGTTATGGGTTACAGGCTTGTAACTTTTGTTACTGTTATAAAAAGCTTTTTCTAAAATATAATATGGAGCATAAAATAGAAACCTTTTAAATAAATATATATATTGAAAGTATACAAAATCTAAACATGCAAAATAAAACATTTTTTATAAATACATAAAATTAACTAGACATGAAATACAACTGTTTCGCTAAAATATTTAACTAGAGTTACCCAAACTAGAAAATTTCCAACAAAAACCTGCCACCAATAGAGAGTGCATGCCAACCCCTTACCCTTTGTTTTTTCAATTTTTAACTGAAAGTGGTGGATTATTTACTGAAACTACCAATCCATAATGTTGAAAACATTGTTATTTGCAACCAAACTTAACAAAGTGAGTTTAGAGTCACTAAACCTATACTTCTGACTCTCAAGATAAGTTATAGTTTAAATCCTTGGACTCTGATAGCCTGGTAAATTATTTCCAAAAAACCTGCCAGACTACATTTTATTAGACTTCTTCAGAAACACACATTCAATAGCATTGTGAGGATAAAGGAAACCCAATACACTGTGTGGTGCAGGCTCTCGGCAGGAAGATGGGGCTGCAAAGATTTTCTAGGCACGTCCCTACCGGGCTAATGATGTGGCTTCTCCCAGGCCACCCTCATCTTGGAGTCCAGGACAGGTCATCCCAAACAGGTCATTCAAACGACTCAGCTTCTACTGGACTGGGGAACCAGTGAAGGAGAAAGCCCAGGGCTCTTTCGGGTGGGTGGGTGTGGGGTGGGGTGGGGCTGTGTGGCTTAAAGATGGTTTCTAGGATTCCTGCTGCTGTCTGTACCTTTGGTAATAAAGGAGCCGGTCCTGCTCAGCGCCGAGGAGCCACTGGATGTGGAGTCACAGCGAAGAAGGGGCTCAGACTCGTCCACGAAGAAGCCCTTGTTCTTATCCAGCGGGGAGGGCTCCACCGTCAGGAGAGTGGCATTCTCAAGTTTGGTGTTGGGGCTGGGGACCGGGCTGGGGCTCAGGGGGCTGGGGCTCATGGGGAGAGCCAGTTTGTCAGATTCCAGCTGTGGGAGAGAACAAAAAAAAATTCTTTTTATTATACGCTTAAGGATTACATTAAGCATTAAGAGAAAAAATGAAATTAAAACCCATTGTCAGATGGCATTGTTTGTTCCATTAATATTTTATGAGCAAGTTCTCCTATTCTGACAGTGCATAACTTATATTATTGCTAGATACGTGCATGCGCGCGCGCGCGCACACACACACACACACACACACACACACACTTTTATACCTTCAAAAACACATTTGAGGATAAGTATGAGCATTAAAAATTAGGAAGCATATTCACCAAGCTATTACTTCACAGTAGTGGAAAGGCACTGAAGAAGAAAGAGCTCCCACTTAAAATACAAATTGTAGAGAATTTTGAATTGTCTCCCCAAAGTTCATATGTTGAAGTTGTCACTCCCTGTACCTGAGAATATGACTATATTTGCAGACAGGCCCTTTAAGGAGGTAATGAAGGTACAATTGGGTCCTAATCCAATTCTGACTGGTGACCTTAAGAGCAGAGATTAGGACACCGACACATGGGGAACACCGCATGAAGACCAGGGAGGTGGTGGCCAACGGTGACAAGCTGAGGAGCAAGGCCTCAGGAGAAACCAACCCTGCTGGCCCTTTACCTCAAACTTCTAGAGTTGTGAGAAAAGAGGTATCTGTTTTTAAACTTCCCAGTCAGCGATGCTTTACTATGGCAACCCTAGTGGCCCAAGACACCTTCTGTTTGCAAATAGGGAAAATGAGGCCTAGAGAGGTGAAGTGCCTGTCTTGATTCAGGGCTCCCAACCAGTAAGTGGCAGAACTCAGACTAGACTCCAGGTTTCCTGACTCCCATTTCAAACCAAGGAATTAAACTGCTTGAAGAATGAGAACAGAATACCAGAGGCAAAAGCAGCTGGCAGGACTACCCGCTGGAGCCCCAGCTCTGAAGGACATAATGGAGACCTGGAGCTTGCATTCTGGGGTGAGGGTCAGAAAGACAGGAACAAACAGGATGGTTTCAGATGGAGATCGTGGGCTTCCGGACCACTGGGGCCGATGTGTCGGGAGCAGACTTTAAGGAGGCCAGTTAGGATGCTGCTGCAGTGGCTGGGTGACATGTAATCAGTGGAGATGGGAGGAAGTGATAGGTGATATCAACCCATTTTACAAGTGAAAGGACTGGGGCCAGAGAGGCCTCAGCTGCTGGGAGGATGCCAGCACTCAGCTCAGGTCAGCCTGGTATCTCTGTACGGCTCTGGCATTTGACACGATGCTTTACAACTCCAGCAGGCACTCATGGCATTTCCTAGTCCCTTGACTTTTATCTTTTTACTGGCATGGATGAAAATCTGGGAGCCAGGTGGCCTGATCGCATGGGGCAGGGTTCAGAGAGTGACGTGTGCTCTTTCCAGAGCTGTTAATCACCCCTCAGAACCCTCAGGACTTGACTCACACATGGCATGCAAAACATTTTCAAGTTCCTCAATCAAGAGGACATTGACCCTCATTTCAAAGTATTACACTGAATAGTTGTAAAACGCACAGAGTACACACAACTGCCTATTTTATAACTTTTAAGGACTAAGCAATTTTTGGAAACTAACTGAAGATTCTGAAGACCACTCATTCCTGCACATGTCTAATGTTCCAACAGCATTTTGCTCTGTACAACCGCCCACTCCCTGCTTCTGCTTCCAGTGCAGGAAGCACGTTGAATAACATGCATTCCCAGCAGCCCCCTTCTGATCCACCAACAAGTTTATGTACATGCATTTAAAGTTTTAATTCAATAGGCCTTGGCATGTGCCCCTCCCTCCCCGAAAATGCACATTGTCATTCATGCCAGTACATGTTTTTTGATCACTCAATTGGACAAAGAGCACTTGTATACACTCTGGTTCTTAGGGACATGACACTGGATGACATGGTCAGTCAATATAGTACACTGTTCTTGATTAAAAGAGAAATTCCCACCCACCAATCACATGTCTGCAGCCTAAGAAGTCCACCCACCCACTTGCTGAACTCAGTTCAACATTATAAATATTTAATTTTTCCCCTATTTTTGCCAAAGGATCTTATCAGTGGAAATTAAGCACATGATATCAAACATAATTTGGAAAGACAGTGATGCTCTCCTATAATTAACAAAGAGCCAAGTGACATGAAAATGCTCCCTAGGAATGGGTTTAGCATCACCACAATGCAGCTAACAACCACAGCTAAAGCTAGAGACCATCTGACAATCATCTTTCTAGAAAAACCTACTCAGCTATCACATATAGGTATCCCTCCCTTTATGCAGGATACACAGTAGCTGGTTGCATTCCAGATTTCTATAAAGTTATTTACATTTTCCCTATAAGAAAAGAAATTGCTTGAAGTAACTTACTTTTTCCTTCCCTTTATCTGAACTACTTACAATATACATCAGAGCTGGTTTGCAACCACATACCTCAAGCATCGTATCACCTGTGATATCTCTCATGCTAAACTGAATCCTCATGGCATGGGGAATAGGTTCATTATTTCATTAATTCAGAAAGTTCATGGTTCTTAGTTTACAGAAAATGAAGAACGTTTTTATCAAGATATAGATACCTTTTAAAAGAAAAGACAAATGCTCAAAACAAGAAAGCCAGATTTCCACATAAGAGGGTCTCATCATCTTGGAAAAGCTTTGAGCGTAAACCTATTAATAGACTCTCAAAATAGATTGTGAGTAACTTACTCCTTATGCTTCCCTGGGCTTCCCAAATTCTCTACAGGGACATACTAACTTTTATAATTAGAAAAATAATAAATGTCATTTTGAAAACATGAAGTACATTTTCCTTCTGCTAACTTGAAAATGTTATACCATAGCAGCTCTTATTTCAAGGAACAGGATATTTGGAAGCTCATCTACTTGGCTGAGCTTCTCTCTATACTTTTGGTAACTGCTCATGGGCCCAAAAGAGCAACCCTCCCACCCCCAAATTATCACAGTGAGGCAAAATATTCAGACTGAGAAGAAAGGCCTTTGGGAAAACTTGGCCAGTGAAGGCAGTGGACCCACCAGATACTTGAAGGCCCCTTGGAGAGATCTGAGAAGTACAGTTCCTTTTGCTTACAGCCATGAAGTGACCACGCTAACCTGGAAGGCTCGCTTGGGAAATCAGGTAAAGGGAGGCAGACAGACCAAAAGGGGAGGGGCAGGGATAATGAGGGGAGGGTGTCCCCGCAGCCAGAAAGAGAACTGTTGTACTGTGTGAACTGCAAGAGCATGCAATTCATTCTGGTCAAATGAGCCCCAAATGTCCTCCCGACTGGTTTCCATGCAAGTACCTTAGTCTTCCCAGATACTGTAGTTATTAACCCAAACTGATAAGGGAAGAGAGATAAACGGTTCACCTTACTCATCAGCTGAGTCACACCTCAAGCTCATGGCTGACCTGACCATTCATTCTCCTTTCTGATTACCAGGACCACTGAATACAAGGAACCATCCAAACGGATTATGTAAACAAGGTATCTATTGAAAGTGGTGGGCCTGAACAACCCTGGGTGACAGAGGTTGGCAGCAGTGTGTGAGAACAATGATTTAATTTGTATTTGCGCTGTCCTGGAATGAGCCATTTCCAGCTGTGTCCGTGCAAACCTCCACTCCAACCTCAACCAATTTCCAAAACCCAAGTGCCAGTGACACTCTGGGTATTTGACCAAATCACAACCTGAACCTGAAGCTCCAAAATCATTCTCCTCTTTTAAAATCAAACCAAAAAAAATCACTTCCCTGACTGGCCTTTGCTAAGATGACACACTGTGGAGGGCTGAAGAGTTTCTCTAGCCCCGCGGAATGGGGGAGCATTCCTTCCAAAGGAAAATCCTTCCAAGCCTTCGTCTGGCAAGGGTGAGATGTAAATGAAACAAGACTGTGAGATTACTTCTCTTCTCTCCTATGACCTAGTGGCCTTCCTGAGTATACTGCAAACAGGGATTGCCTTGTTTGTCATCTTTTCAGCATGCATCTCATGTTCCCCACAATCAACCCCTAAAAATCAAAGTCATGAAAATCCTGGAATATCATTGAAAGGGAAGAAAGGAAACACACCACTAACTAGTTTGCACAGCCTTAGAATAACCACTTCTCTCCTCAGGCCTGCTTCCTCATTTTTAAACCGAAGAGTTTAGACTAGGTCATCTCTATTCAAATCATACCTTATTTATTGTCTTATTATTGCTATTTTATTGTCACCCCCCTCCACCAGCCCACCCCAACTTCATTTCTCCTTCCTAGTTACCCCCAACTGCTTCACTCAACTAAGGTTTACCACTGAGTTATTTTCAATTACCACCCAATTATAATCACCCTGTGGTTGGCACAATCTGTTTCATAAAACTAATTAACAACTTCGATGCATCAGTGACCCCCTAAATGAGGCACTAATCACCCAGTCTGGGTGCTGCTTGCCAATATGCTAAAATGGTTCAGCCTGACCACTTTGTTCCTGGCACTACCCAGTCAGATTCCACAAGGCTCCCGCTCCCCCCAACCCCTGTGGCCAGATACACCTGACAGGCTCAAGAACAAAGTGCTTTACAGTCAAAGGTCACTTTTTCAAATGAACTTTCCCTCCAGACCTCATCCAACATTTAGAAAAAGGAAGAATTGTTAGATTTGTGAAAATTTCTATCATTTTAACAATGGTTTCTAAAAGCCCATTTGCTAAATTCGGTGCATATTAACTGCTGTTCCATCTGAGTTGATCAGCTTGTTACTCAGATACATGCTGATCTAAACAGAAAGGGACTTTAAAAAATAAGCCATTATCAATATTGTGCTAAATGATTCTGCATGAAATATAGGTAATCCATTTGCTGTTAAGAGAGCTCTTATTAGCTCCATTTTACAGATGAGAGAGCAGAGGCTCTCAGAGGTTTAAGTAAGGTGCCAAGGTCACAAAGCCAGGATTCAAGGTCAGGTCTGTCTGGTTTCAAAGCAACCTTCTTCTCTGAGCCATGTCATTTCCCT